AGATGCTTCCATCACCACTGGAACCACAAGACATCCCACCCACTGGCCTGTGATCTTCCTGCATTTGGTGTCACTGTATGGCTGCTTGAGTCTAAAGAGGAAAGTATAGACTAGTATGGAACATGTGAGCTAATATCGGACTTATGGACTTGATCTAGACTGGCTGGGATGTTTTCTTAATATACAGTTGCTCTTTGATATAAAGTTCTTTCTTATGCATATATGAGTCTCCCTGGATTTGTTTCTCTAGTCTACCTGGACTAACACACAGAGGAACTTGAAGGGTTGGGAGCTTTGCTTCCAGGAACGTTGTTGACTAAGTGCAAGCATAGTGCAGGCTCCTGGCAACACGGCACATAACCTGTGCCCCGAGGCACTTTTCCTGGAGCCTTGGTAACAGACGTTTTGCACTGACCACGTAGTTGACAGTCTGAAACCACCTGCTGGTCCGCAGGGGAAAGATGGGGCTTTTTACTCCCAGAAAGAGTTACAGTCTCAGAAACCTACAGGGGCAGTTGGAGCCTGAGTCAGCATGGAGCTGGGTTTGGGGAGACATTCACCAGGAAGGACTAAAACTGAGCATCGATGCTTTGTGGCCCGAGTACAATGTCCACCTGTGCCTATGGATTCGGGGAAGCTGCATCTGTAAGATTCTTTCATTTGCATCTTTGAAAGAGGTGCTGGGTCTCCTGAAGCCTGCGGTGATTTCTCACCTTACAGTGTTCAATTCAGAGGCCAGTTCTAGTATGTATGGTCCCCACTGCTGTGGCTCCTCCCTGTTTCATCGGGACTGACACAGTGCTTATAGGGACCTGGGTGAGGTGTGGCAGGTCTCTGAAGCATATTTTTGTGTGACCCTCCTCCCCACCTCCTTACTATAACCCCCTAAACTGGCACTGAACAATATGCAGCTATCACTAGTATAAATTGAGACAAACTAGAGCTCAAAGATAGGAATAAAGTAAAGTGAAACATCTCTTTTCCCCTCAATTGGTTGGCATGTTGAAATTATCATTGTTTCAGCATGCTGCATTAAGTAAAATATTAAAATTCATTCCCCCTGGCATTTTTCTTTTTTAATGTGGTTACTAGGGAACAATTAGATTACACATTTAATTTCTAAATACTTACATGATTTGCACATACTTGATGTAATACATTCCATAGTTCTTCCTGTTCCTACTCATATTCTGCCCTAGAGAACTGTGGACGTGGTTGCTGGGGACCCCACCCTAAGACTGTGCAGGCCACATGTGGACAACCACCCCCTTGCAAGATCAACACTGGAAAGCCTATTTAGCTGCAGGTTCCCATTGATTATCATGTGAAAATTGATTTGAAACCCACACTGGAAAACCAAGAGCCCCATTCAACAGGACAGTAAGCCTTAGAGAGGGGAGGGGGACTCTGCCCAAGTAAGGTCCACAGCAGATAAGCTCTGGACGTCACTGGATTTTCAGACTCAAATTCTGTCTGGATACAACCTTAAAGCTCTGATTTTTAGGTTCTCTTAGAAAACAACAAAACAAACCAAAACAATTATTTTCTGGCCTTCCTGCTCAAACTCCCAGCATGGGCTCTACCTGGAAGCATTTTAGAAATGTGGAATCACAAGGGAACAACAAGTGACCCAAATTGGTGGTGAGGAGGGTGT